TTAGCCACGTGACTTCCGAAGAACATTTCAGTTTAAATGAATACCCCGTGGTGCCTATGGTAAGTAATTGCTCATCCTGGGATGTGAGAGGAAAGGCATTTGATCGTGCACAGCACTGAACAGGTGTGCAGTGGTGGAAAGCAAAGGTTCCCTTAGCCATTTGGAAGACAAAGAGCTTTGGGTAAGACCTGCATAAATGTAGATGAGCTGAAATCTAGTGCAGGACATCTCAGTATCTGTGAGAACATTGAGGGGGACTGTAAAGATGGGCCTCCATACTAAATCATTTCCCTGCTCTTGATGTGTTTACCGGGATCTCTGGCTCAGCAGTGTCCCTTGGGGTAGGCACAAATTTTTGAGGCAGCTGCCCTCCTTTCTGAGTGACTTCAGCATTCCTCTAAGGTCATCCATCCAAATATTGGCTAGCCTGACCTTCAGGAGGTAATTACAGAAAAACACACCATGCAATGGCTCCAGACTCCATCCAAAGACAGATGACAAGCAAAGTTAGGCTGGGCAAAAATCCATCTAGAAAGTGTGGACAATACCAGGGACAGAGGGAACATTTACAAGAACATAATCATTTTCAGATGCCAGATCTGACTTGCTTGGCTGAGTGACTTCATTAAATGATATTCAAAGGCTCAGTCTAGTAGCACTGATGGGGATCAGTACAAAGAACTGGTTTAGCACCCAGACCAATTTAAGCTGAGCTAGCATTAAACACCTCCTTTCCTGACCCCCACTAAAAGAGGGACTAGACGAATTGTTTCCACACTGTGAACCAAACATTTGTGAAAAATGAAGTCATGCAGAGTTGTGCTGGCACCGAGACTGTGCTGTCCCTAGCTAGTCTCAGGATTTGGAGTAGGAAAGGAGAGAAACACTTGCATTCTTGCCCTCCACCCTTCAGTGCTACTGTAGGCAGAGCCAAGGCCTCGTAGCTGGAGTTTCCTAGCCGCTTGTGTAAAAGAAATGTATCACTGCAAAATTAAAGGCTCTGAGAGAAAGTTAATTAAATACAGCTTGTTCAGGCACTGTCCCTTATTAATTATCTTGAACACATTAATTACTTCTCATTGTATCCATACTGTTTAATCTAATGTGAAAGATCTCTGTTCAGACCACACTTCTTTAGCAATTTACTTTGATCATAGTTATGATAAAAGTAATGGGGAAAAAAATCCAATCACTAACAACTCACATGATACAAATTTTAAAAACAAATGTAATAAATTGGAGGAGTAATAATCTGTAAAAGGTTTTTTTTTTCCCAGTTTTTCATGAATATTCTACTAGTTTTAACAGCAGGTGAGAATGAAAATATGATTTTGCATGTATTTTATCGCTGTACTTTATTTACTTGATAATGTAATATTATGTTTCTGTTTTCTTTGCAGTTTACAGGCATTTCATTAAATAAGAAGCCCAGATGCCTGTATGTATATCTTTATTTTTCTCTTACTTAAATACACTAACTTGACATGATTAAATTTCTGCTTTTGCATTTCCCCTTATCCAAGAGCGTGAATCAGGTTGGTTTTGGATCCTGTTCGATACCTGAGTGTGACCTATATTTATGTCATGTGGTGAAGGAAAAACAGATTTCTGCTAAATCAAAGCTAAAATCAGCTATTCTTTAAAGAAAAAAAAGAAAAGAATAATATTCTGTTAAATGAATGACTCCTTCCTGCTGGCTATAATAGCCTATTGCAAGGCTACAGTAGTTGAATCTCTTCAGCAAACACAGCCAAGTTTCAGCTGAAAATATCTTTTAACATTCTGGTAGGTAGGAGAGAGAAAGTTGTCATTTCCAAACTGACAGTAACACTGTCGTCTTAAGAATCATGTGTAAGCAAACAAGTGCCCTGACAAAGCATGAGCACTAACAACATCTCAGGTTACTCAAGCAGCTGTCTTGGGAGGAGCAGAGCTAATTGGGGCTGGTTTCCCATGTCTTCGCAACTTGATCATGAGTCGCAGTGGCTGGTTCAGAGCATCATGCCTGCTGCTTGGCCAAGTGACGATCAGGCAGTGCATCCTTCCTCAGGGCAGCCTTGCTTAGTGGGGACACGAGTCTAGGTCTTTTTCCCAATGCCATGAAACTTATTGCATCACCATAGGTCTGGGATGTCTGCATCCCTGCCAGAATTATTTGTGTCTAACCAATGGGTTCATGAATTTATGAGACACATGTGAACAGATGGATGGGCTGGAAAATAAACTAAAAATACAACATATAGCCTACTGGGTTGGGGGTGGGGCTCTTTGCTCTTTGGATTGTTTTTGTTTGTCATATATCTTAGTCCTAGCAGGCAACTGGCCAAGTACCCTTTGCTGATAAGCAGTGTTTACATTAATAATTAACAGCATGGGGCTTTAGCTTTGATTTTTCTGCTTTTTGCTTTTATAGCTTTTTTTTTTTTCCCCCTTACTGATTTATGATTCTGGAAAAACTTGATTGTCCAAAGTAGACTTTGAGTTAACTGTGTATATACTTTTCAGGCTTATGGATGTCTTAATGTGATTGGAATCAAGGAACTAGAATTAAAATATAACCAGGGAATTCAATGACTCTGTGATGTGAGTCCTTCCACTGACAAGTCTTTGGTCTAAATATAACACAGTTTGGTAAAACCCATTTATTGCTGACAAATAGTGGGAGTTCAAAGGCATATATGAAATTGTTTAGAGGTTTCAGTTTAACTACTGATATACTTCTCCTTTGAAAAGACAGTCAAAACTAGAATTTAGTAGTAGCATTTATTTGGAGTTAACAGATTAAAAATATCCCAACTTGTCCTATAAAGCAGAGAGAAAGGAGGAGAGGATGCTCAGAGGGGTAGGGAAGTTTTATTTTGCTCTGCCTGTTCTGTAGATGAATCCAGCATTTCCATTCACCACACCAGCTGTTTTTAAGAGCTCTAACTCAGCTCAGTCCATAAAACAAGGTTTTGATGATATGTACCAGTTAAAAAAATTGGGAAGTGTTACTACCCATCCAGAAAATTCAGTGGGTTTGGGGCCACGGATGGCTTACATTGTTTGGGATCAATGGCTGGACTTGCAACCCCTCTTGCTCCAAAGCCTCTGCCTTCCTTCCCAGTTCCTTTTCTCCAGTTTCTCCTGTCTGTTTTCAGGAAATACCCCACTGAGGGCACAGCAGACCTTTGCTGATGCTCACTAGCCACTTCTCAAAGGTGCTGAGACTTGCCGGCACATCTGTCCCTGAATCAACTCTAAATGCCAGCTCCCATTATGAAGCAGCTAAGAATTAGGTCTCTTGAAATCATTAGACCTGTCTTGAAAAATACCCAATGTTTGTGAAATGCAGCAAGAATAGGATTGCTCTTAAGTGCCTGTGGCAGTGGGGAGCATTTAGACACATCATTTCAGTTTTTCTCTGTAATATGACAGATCAGGAATATGTTTGAGTAGAAGTTCAGACTCTGACAGTCACTTGTATTGAGGAGATGCTGCTTCAATGAAAAAACATTTCCCACATCTGGAGCTGGCAGCATTGCATTTCATGTGCAATGACCTGCATCTTCATCTGTCTTAAATACCTTCTTACCCTGACTGTGAATTAGGGACAGACGTCCATCTTCTCTACCATAAACTCTTCAATTTAAATACAGTTTAGCTCTTTTAGGCAATCCCCTCTGATATTAACCTTGACCTTCTTCTGGTTTTAATAGCATCATTCAGTGCAGCAGAGGAGTGACTAACATCACCTGCAGTAATGCCTGCATGTGCTTTGGGAATAAATGATATAACTTTTTCACCATAACAGCTGAGAAAAAGAGAGCGCTACATCTTTTAACAACAACTAAGTAATGGACTGTAACAAACAGTGCCCAAAAAATTATCATAAACTGGAGTGGCCAACACTTGTGCATTTACACAAGTCATTCCTAACCCCCAGCAAGTGGTCAGTGCCCAGGCCTGCACCAGGCCAGCATGGCACAGCACCTGCAACCTCTAGCTTTGATCTGCACAGCATTTCCCCATGAAGCTTCCCCATAGTGAAGTCTGGTTGGCAAAGCTGCCAACCAGGTAAAGCTGTTTTGTAGGTTAAGCTCATTCCTATGCTGTTGACTGGCCCTCACTGCCTCCCACCAACAAATACTGAGGCTTTTGTGACGTTCTTCTGGTGTCTTAAAGATCAGGAGAGGGCTTGCACTGTACACACTTGAACAACCACAGCTTTTTCCAAAACTGGCTTTGTCAAGTATGCAACATTGTTTAACTCCCAGAAATAATACTACAGATACGTGGTTTCCAGAAGTAACAAGCTATGGAAAATAGCCCTATGGGAACCATTAAGAGATTGACTTGTACATCAGCACATCTGTTCTTCACTTCAGTCACAGTAGCTGGGCAGACGTGAGCTGGTGCCTTATGTTCATAGTGCTGGTGTTACACTATGCGTATCTGCTGTAAAACATTTCAAGATTATGTTGAAAGGGACTGTAATGATCTTACTTAGCTAAACTGTGAAACTGCAGTTTCAACATAAAATTTCAGATTAGAGGGCATGGTTCAGCCTTTGCAGCACCAGGCACTGTGCTGTCACTCCACCTGAGCTCACAGATTTCAGCAAATCCTGCTGGGCTTGAAGCATTACAGAGAGACCAAAGAATTCAACTTACTTTGGCCTTTAGGCTTTCATACCCTTCTTCCACCAATTTCTGTATTCCCCTTTCCTCTTCTCCCATTTCAAATCAAAGCCTAAAAGCAAAGCTAAAGTTTCCTTAGACGGGTGGCCAGCACAAAGGCGGAGCACAGAGTTTTCTGAGCTGTTGGCAATTAGTAGCAGCAATTCCCTGGGGCCTGGCTGCAGTCCAGGACAGTGCTGAAATTCCATCAAGAAGTTCCTATGGTTCCTGCACCTACTTTCTACTGTTATTGGTGCTGTGTGGTCTTCCAGAGACCATGGGATGTTAATTCTTTGCAGAAGGTTGCCATGAATGTGTGCATCTTTAAAATCCCTGTAGATCACCAACTTATGAGAACATAGACCTCAGCAAGGTCTCAGCACTTGAAATTCAGCCGAATGCTATCTGAACAACAGTGTAGGTGAACATGCATGAAGAGGCCACCAGTGACACATGTAGGGGTTCTTATAGTGGAGGATGTTTTTGAGTGTTGAGAAATGTATTGCAACTCTGGTTTTAGCTTTCAGCCTGGTCCTGTAAGACAAGGCTATTTCTGTCTTCAAAAGTGTATGGGTTTGAGCCATTTTGGGAACCTATCACTTTACAAGATTGAGTAATAGGTATTAATAACCACTACTATTAATTTCAGGAGCCGAGGAAGTCAACATGCTTCGTATAACACCCCTGATGCAAAGCCTCATTCCTTTCAAAAAGGAAGAATTTTGTTGAAAAAAGCAAAGGATGAAAAAGCAAGCTTGCAGCCTGTGAAATGCTTCTATGAACCTGTTGATTGCCCAAGAGAAATTTGGAGAGCACAAAAGAAAGGTGAACCAGTCTGCTCTGCCAGGAAAGCGAGTGCAAAATCAAAGATGGGTAAAAAGGCCAAACCGCTATAGGAATGGTTAGCAATATATAGTAACACAGGAGCTTGGCTTCAACACAACAAATATTGAATGAAGTTAGTCATCCTGCTTTTTCCTATCCATCTGGCCATACCAAAACATATCAGGTATAATATATAGAAATATATACAGTATGGAAGATTTATATTATTTAGTAACGCCATTCCCTCTTAGGGCGTTATAAGAGAAGTGACATTTTATTCAGTTTACATGGAGGTTTTTCTATTTATTCATTTATTTATTTATAGACCTTATTTTAAATTACTGCAGTTATCTTGCTGAGCAGTACTGTGGCGTATGTTTAATTATTTTAGTGGCAGCATGTGGCTTGGTAATATATTTTCCATCTGTGCTGTTGCTGGAGTTCAGAAGAATCCATTTAATCGGCACCTAAATATTCAGTCTTTCAGCTTAGTTAGGTACAAGATCAATGATTAACTGTTACCTGCACAGGCATACTTAGATGCAGATGGTCTACTTGAGTTGCTTGAAGGCTGTTTACAGCAGTAGATTGCTACCCTGCGTTTTCTGCCATAAGCCGAGTTGGGCACATTTCCATATTTTATTACGAACATTAAACCACTGGATCCTGCCAGCAGCCATGTTGTCTGTTGGTGCAAGTTTGGGCCGCTCCAGTGTCTCAAGCACAGCTTTAAAATTCCAGAGGCTTTGTGGCTTTGCCCTATGTACCAGACCCTGGTGTCCCTTAGCGAGGAGACCAGAAGCTGATACTGCAGGCCTGTAAAGCACAGACTGCGTTGAGCCAGAGGAGAAATTTCGGTACCAAGTGCCAGCAGGAGGTTATCAGCCGTGTCACAGCAAGTGACAGGCTAAAGCAACATGTTGCATTGCAAGGCACCACATTCATGTGGTTGGTTTTAGGCATGAGAGACCTAAAATGGCTATGGTCATAACCAAATTACTTCACATTTTTATCTCTGAAGAATATTTGCAGGGCTAAGAGATTCCTGAACTTTGACTAAAAACTCAAGAGCAAGGATGTTAGGGAAGATTGCAGGATGGGAATGCGCATGTTTACATTGGTTTGTGCCAATTAAAAGGATCCTTATTTATCAGAGTATTTATAAGATGATTGTGTGTACAGTTTTTTGGTAACATGAATCCACATGCCATGTTTACAGATACAAACATCCTGTCAATGTTACTGAGATTTGTTTTCTCAAGAAAAAGAAAGGGTAGGTGAGACAAGTCTGTGTAATTTATTTTTTAAATGCTCGTAACAGATGTAAATTGTTTATGTGGAAGGTGATTTTTACAGTATGTGTACAAAGATTTGTGAAAAATGTTTTTCATTTTTTATAACTATAACTGTAAGCAGAACTGAGTATTAAAAGACAATGTATCACTATGATTACTGCTGCAATAAGCACCTGAGTTGCAATATTTTTAAAGCAGAAGATGACCAATGAGTCAGCTAGGATCAGGTAACTACAGATGTCATACATTTGTCAGTGTACAGAGCTCCCAGAAAGTAGAAGAGTGAAGAAAGAGTATTATTCCTCACTTTTATTTTAGATAGTGTATATGGAACAATCAGATATATGTTTAAAGTTTCTCAACACTGTTTCAGTAGAAAGTCACAGTGTAAAACCAATTCAGGTATTTAGGTTGTAATGACATTTTAATATTTATTTAAGTACATCACAAGGTCACAGTTGGCCTTATGCTAGGCATCGTGTGTAGTGAAAAGGAGTTGTTAATTGTGTTGCATGGGTTTAAGTCAAATTGTGTGTTATGACAACTTTCTTAGGCAAGCCACAAAACAGAAAGAGTCTTGAGTTTTTTCTGTTGCCTCCCATATCCTTCTACAAACCTGAAAAAATGACCCTTTTGGAAGATAATAAAGGTGAACTTTAGAAAGATAATAAACTAAAATATATTCATCTGTTCCATTATCCACTTGACACTGAAAGAATATTTTTATTTTTAAATGCGTATCTACTCTGTCACCAAAGTTAAGTGCAACTGCTAGTTCACGAATGAGATGTTTATTTTATTATTTATCACACCAAAATCTTGACTGTAAGTTGTCCTTCTGGGGCAGGAAAAAAAAAAAAGAGTAAAAGAAGTTGCATGTTCTTAAAATTTTCGAAGCCTAAGTTACAGTTACTTGCTGAACAAACACCAGGTTAGTTAATTAGAAAGAAATTGGATTGTATTGTAACCCCAGAGAAAAGTTTTTAGAATATAAACATTCTAATAATAAAGATATATTTCTCAGTTACTGTGTTGTTTAACTCTATAAATATGATGTTTCTTACAAAAAGCCTACCGAACAACAGAGAAGAAGACAAGAAACAGTAGCCCTGCTTGGACTTCTGTTTATTCCTCAGATAAAACACCATGTCAAGTGGTGAAGTTGGGCTGTGATCTTCCAAAGCATTACGAATTAACCTGAAAGACAGCTACAGCATCTGGCCCACGTAGCTTGCACGTCACCTGCCCCTCTCTTACGGTAATGGTGATTGAATACTATTCTTGAGATAACCCACATGGTCAGATAACCTGCCCAAAGCAGAGGCTGGGGGAGGGGAGGGAAGGGTCAGGCAAATGAAATTAAGAGCAGAGGGGCTTCTGGGGAATGTAGGTGATAAAGTCTCCTTCACACAGTTGCCAAGTCATCATTTCATCAGGTATCTTCCTGGTTAAGACTTGTAAAGAGAGGTTTTCCCATAGGGAAACCAGGTTCCTGTTGGGGTAATAACCCATGGAAGAGGTGCTGTAGAAGACTGAACAAGGAGATGAGGTCCCTCTGACACCGGAGAGCTCAAATAATGTTCATCAGGGAAAAAGGCTCCTTTCCAGTCATGTCTACACAATTTATCTCATTTTTAAAGTTAATGTCTGGTCATCAGCAGAACTTGACTGCTGGATGCATGTATCATATCTACACTTCATGTCCCATTAGCAGAGGTGGAACGCCTGAGAAGGATTGGTACATGCACTAGGCTGAATGTAACCGGTGTTAGCTTGGGGGGACCTTACGAGATGACAATGGAATCAGAAAATGTCAATTGTAAAATACTTTTTTAATCTGAAAGTGTTCTGACAAAGTTGACCACTTATCTTTGAAAATCAATTTGAAGCACAGTTACCACATTTTGCCCTTTGAGATGCTTTGAAGACACCTAAGTGGGTCCTATTCTTGCATCAAAGTGAAGTTCAGTAGAACCTAGATGCTTCATTTCCATGTACGTTTTTAAAACCACACCTCATCTATAATTAAAAACATCTCAGAGCAGGATGTATACTGCTTGTGCCCTTCCAGGTGAGCTTTCTGCTTGAAACAAAATGTTCTGACTGACATGTAACGGTCAGGAAAACAAGAGACTAATTGAAACCTAGACCTTAATTAGAGTTGTACATAGAAAAAACACAATCATTTTGAGATGCTCCTGCCAGTTGAAGAGAGAGAGCATGTTTTTAAAGCACTAGATGGCATCTGACCGCCCCCCCCTCTGCCTCAGTAGTAAAAGCAGTCTCCCCCCTGCCAGAGGAGATCTGAACACATTTATTTTGTTTCCAGGAGAGTTGCTGGAAATATTCAATGGGATATTCATATTCAAAGGGATGGCCACCAATTAGAGCAGTTACTAGGTCGAACAAATTAGCATTTCTATCATCCCTAATAATCCTTCCAATGCCACCGGCTCTTTCGATCTACTTGAGCAAGATCTTGCTCTTCTCTCTCTTTATTCTGTGTCACCAGATGGTTGCTTCTGTTTGTTCTTACCTCAGACTAATGCTGATTATTTCCATACATCCTGTCTGAAGTGGCTGGAGTGCACTATTTTAGTGCTCTCTGCAGTGGGCATGGGCATTTTTAATTTATTTTTTTTTTAGAAAGAATAATCCCAGAAGTGATTTTATGATATGAAACATACAACAAGCTCTTAAAAATAGATCTGTTGTGACACGAACAAAATGTCCTTTCCCATTTTGTTGCTAATGCCACCCTCTATCTAGCCACGCTTTTTTTTTTATTCTAGTCTTTTGAATTTTCATTTGTACATCTCTCTAAGGAGAGGGAGAAACAAGCAATGTGAGTTAAATGCAGTCATTGGCTTGACAAACCTTTTCCCCCTCACCATCTCTGTCTGAGCATTGCACACTGCAGGCGGGTAAAAGTTGGCTAGAATTTTTCATAAAATTGTGGAAAAAATACATACAACAGATTTCAGGTTCATTATAATGTTATGAAAGAGGAAGAGGCTCCTCTGAGCTGAGAGGGAGAGAGGAGGAGGAGAGATCCTCCTCTTGCTTGAGAAGTCACTTTCAAAGATAAATGTGAGGGGTCGGAAGAATTTACTGTGTGCTGGTGTGAGATGGGGGAAAAACAGAGTTACGCATAAGGCAGCACTGAAAGTATGGGGGAGTCATTACTGCCTGCTGTTTCTTAGAGGCTTTGACCTCCAAAACATCAAAGTATATATGGCCTGGTGCATTCAGTCCTTAAATCACGCTTTAGGCACATGTTTTGAAGCCTAAATACTAATTTCAAAGAAATAGACTTTAGGATCAGGTCTTCCAAGAAATTCCCCAAACTCTGTCCCAACCAGTTTCAGTGGCTTACAGTGGGAGACTGTGCTAAGGGGGGGCTTGTCAGCAGGGGGGATTTCCGTGTAGTTGTGGTACTTGCTCTCTGCTGTGTCTGCTCAGTGATCAGCAGCGGCTGGCCAGGCACCTGCAGCTCTGCCTGGACTCTACCCTGGCTGACCATCAGCCAGCTCTTGCAGCAATGCTTTCCTTTACATCACTTTGCTGATTTTTCTGTCCGCTTCCTAAGCTCCCTTCCTCTTCTTTCTGCTGACTCAATACCTTCAATGGCTTCTCTCATGCAGCAAGCACCTTTCCTGGACCTCAGCCTGCTAATAAGTCACTGCATTGCACCAGAGACTCTTGGAAAACACTTTCTTTGGTGGGCCATGGGCAACTGCTGCACTAAGATGGCAGATTATCCAACTGTGTGGAGC